TTTAGTTTAGTTAAAGTAAACTAACTAAACCCCCATAAAAAAAAAATTATCCCATAATTTACTCACCCTCAAGCCATCCTAGGTGTATATAACCTTCTCTCAGCCAAACACAATCAGAGTTATATTAGAAAATATCCTGGCTCTTCCAAGCTTTAGGAGTGAATGGTACCTTAGATTTTAAGCCCAAAAAAGCACATCCATCCATCATAAAAGTAATCCATACGGCTCCAGGGGGTTAATAAAGGCCCTCTGAAGCAAAGCAATGCATTTTGTAAGAAAAATATTCATATTCATATTTATAACTTTATAAATTATAATTAATCACTGGCTTCCTGTAATGGCTAAATGCGACAAGTTCCGGCAGAAGAGTGACCTCTGACCCGACACATGACGTATTGACGAAAGTGGAAGCAAAACAAAACACCGGTCACGAATTAAAAGTCTAAAATGAGAATTTTTAAAGAGAAATGTCGGATGAGCTTGAGTTTGTTGCCCAGTCGTATTTGTTTTAACTACGAGAGGTGTCTTCTCTCACCGAAGCTTACGGTACTCCTACATAACTTTTAAATATGAATAATTTTCTTACAAAAATGCATTGCTTTGCTTCAGAAGGCCTTTATTAACCCCCTGGAGCCGTGTTGATTACTTTTATGATGGATGGATGCTCTATTCACTCCCATTATAAAGCTTGGAAGAGCCCGGATATTTTTTAACATAACTCTGATTGTGTCTGTCTGAAAGAAGGAAGTCATATACACAAGGAATGGCTTGAGGCTGAGTAAATTATGAGATAATTTTCATTTTTGGGTGAACTAACTCTGTTAGACTACACTGTGCCTATTCAAAATTCAGTGTAAAGACAGGATGTTGTATAAAAAACAGATTAAATTACACCTGCTCTGATCTACCTCAACCTCTAGTAACAAAGTATGCAGTTGAAATAGCTGTGTAAATGCATTTATGCCACCTCTAAGCAGCATTAAACAGTGTGTAGACACTTAAAATCCACGTCTGAAGCGCTTCTGTTCTGTGCCACCTTTTCACTAAGGTGTATGACGTGGGGTACAAAAGTCTCACACCACATGACACATAAATGCACAGAACCAACCTTAGTGCACATCATGTCACATATTATCTGTTAGTGGAAGAATTAAAGAATGCACACTGAGGTTTGTTGAATTTCATGTGATTTCATTATTTGATACATTTATGTCTGCCTATGATGGCACTCTCTATCCTAAGTTACGTTATCTTTTTTCTTTCAGGTAGAGAGTACACCATCCCCTCCCCTCTACGTAGATTTCTGGCTGAAACTGTGGATTTCTTCCTTCTCTTCTGTGTAAAGGCAACCATAGTGTTGTGGATCATGCATCTCAGTGGAATGAAGTGAGTTGAGAAGTTGGACAGTTATAGATTTAGTTATATTTCTAAAATAGTAGTGCATCAATTATATATAGAGATATGCACTACTTAAAAGTTTGGTGTCAGTAAGATTTCTTAAAGAAATTTGAATACTTTTGTCCAGCACGGATGCATTAAATGGAAAAAAGTGACATTAAAGACATCTACATTGTTACAAAAAAATATTTGAAATAAATGCTGTTCTTTGAACTTTCTGTTCATCAAAGAATCCTATAAAGAGTTTTAAGTTAATTTTTATTGAAGTTTAAACATTGATAATAATAATGATGTTTCTTGTGCACCAAATCAGTATATTAGAATGATTAGAATGAGCAATGGCTGCTGAAAATTCAGATTTGCCATCACAGGAATAAATTACATTTTCAAATATATTAAAATAGTTATTTTAAATTGTAATAGTATTTCACAATATTGCTGTTTTACTGTATCTTTGAGAAAATAAATGCTGCCTTGGTGAGCATAAGACACATCTTTCATAACCGACTCATATGTTGTATAATGACAGTTCATATGTCTTTGATCTTCTGAACAGAGATATTTCCAAATTCATGATGCAGTTTATTGTGGAAGAGATTGATGAGACCACATCATTGGAGGACCTGCAGAAGATGATGGTTGTGGCTTTAGCATACAGAGTCCTAGTGTGCGTCTATGAAGTGAGTGAGTCTCCGCAAGCTTCTGCCATCATTTGTCTTCCATTTTACAAGCCTTGTCTCTCAATCTGTTTTTAATTTACATAATTTACAATCTGTTTTTTTCAGAAAGTTAAATGATTATTAATTCCATCCTTATCTTGTCACTTACTAACAATATCTGGTGCAAAGCCTCTGTAGTGTATAAATGATTTGAATGAGTTTGTGGTTTTAGACAGCTCGCGCATTTCTTGAGTCTGTGTTCTGTCTTGATCTGCAGATCGTCTGTATTTGGGGAGCTGGAGGTGCCACTCCTGGAAAGTTCTTGCTGGGTCTTCGAGTCGTCACATGTGACACGACAGTCCTAGTGCAGCCTAATCGGGTTTTGGTAGCACCGGCATCCAATGTCAGCTTATCTGCGTGAGTTATCCGTGTATTTATAATGCATGGGCGGACAAACTAAAATGATACATTAGAAGTATTTTAATTTAAGAACTTTTTTTTTTTCATCTTGCAGGTCCACAGTACGGGCCTTAAACAAAAACTTCTCCATCGCCTTCCTTTTCCCTATCTTTATCACGCTACTCTTTTTCCAACACAACAGAACTGTTTATGACGTTGTGGCTGGAACCATCGTGGTTCGGAGGAGAAGAGCCAGATGACAGGTCTGTTTGTGTCAAAGTCATGTGAAAACGGCCCCTGTCAAACATCAAATGCTTACAGATGTTCTCAGTATTATATTTTAATATATCATAATAGTATGTACTGCAGATTTGCACTAATGATCCCTGTATCAAAGTCTAATCACAAAGCTATTGTTTACAATGCTGAGAAATATCTGCTTTCTTAGAGAAGTTACTGATCTTGCAACAAACAGTTTTTCATGTTGAAGAATGATGAGTGATATTAAGCTCAAGACACATGTTTTATGTAGACATGCTCGGAAATTTCATCCGAGTGGAATGTTTTACTCTAAACACCAGCTTAATCCACAAGGTTTTCATAACTTCTCCCCAGATTCGAGCTTTATGGCCCAGACGAGTCTGTTATTAATCTTACCAAAGGCAAGGAATTGAGCTCGTGTCCTTCCACACATGCATGCAGCTGTCCGGAATGTTCCATTCCTGTTGTAAATTCAGTCGGTGGCTGATATGCCTCACAACATTTCTCAGGGTTTCTTAAAAACCTGTTTTATTTGTCATGTGTTTCAGTTATGATGATCTTTTATATGTAAAGAATTAAGTATTACATTTTGAAATTCACATTATCTGCCCTACAGTATTCGGCATGCCAAACACATCAGCTGTTTCACGAGTTCACACTTACATCAATTAAACAGAGTAAAGATTATGCGTATTTGGCGTGCTGTCCGGGGGGAGGGCTCCGAGCTCGGAATTTTGCCCGAACCTAGAGTACTCCCCCCGTTGTTGTAAGAGTATTAGGACTATAAGTGAGGAGATGGGGTGGTGGAGGGATGCTGTTAAACTGTCAATGAACGGAGGTAAGTTTGCTGTATATATACACAGCGCTTAACTCGTTGATTAAGCACCACTCGTGTCTAATTAGGTTTGATTATCTGAATGTGCTCCACATGTGTTTAATTAGGTTTAATTATCTGAACATGCTTCTCCCGAACTTTGTTAATAAAACATCATTTTGATTTATCATTGTGCATGGTTCATATATGAAAAATTATTAAAATCCTTGAAGACGATATTCTATGGGATACATTATTTTTCTCATGTCACAGTATCATTGAGATACTAATATAGTTTTTATTTATATATATTTTTTTATCCTTACATTTTCCGTTTTAATTGAAATTGCAAGTTTTAGTCATTTTGTTGTCATTTTAATTATTTTTTAAATATTTTCAAATATGTCCATAGTTTTAATTATTTTTTATTTCAGTTTTAGTATATCAAGTTAAAATTGAAATATTAAATGAAAATGAGAAATGCTGCCTTAGCAACTTGCCAAAATAAAGTAAGTTTAAGCTTTTTATATTTTTATTTCAGGTAACATTTATTTTATTTCAAGTTACGGATAGGTTTTTAATGGTTTTGGTTTTAGTTAACCATATAAGTACAAGGTTAAGGGATGATGATGATATTGATTACTAGTGTAGAGAATTAAAACAGTGCTTCTTGATAACCACTAGGTGGTGATATTTGTTCATAAACACAAGCTGGAACCCTAATTTGACGATCATAGTGTTGAGTTCTTTGAAATTCAAAGCAAATGTCCTTTGGCATTGTTCAATTACACAGTCACATTCCATAGTGGCAGTCCACATTCTCACAAGCAGAAAATGTTTCCTAATGATCACGTGCCAATCATGCAAAAAAAAAACTGAAATTGCATTGCTCTGGTAAGACTCACTGATGATTTAGATCTTTAAAATACATATCTCATCCATAACTATTAAGCCTTTTTGTTTTGATTTTTCTTTCTGTTTGCCCATTCTGGTCTCTCTGGAGGTCTTGGAGTTCCAAGGGCAATTCCTCATAATCCAAACCTTGTGGACCAAATGAAGAAAACAGACACACGGGTTATTTGTCTTAGCTAGGACAAATGTGCACACCAACATGCACACACAAACACGTACAAAGTCTAATAAAGCAAGGTTTTGAACAAACATCACAAGATGATACAATTTATATCATCTTGTGATGTTTGTTCAATATGCATTGTCAGATAAACTTGTATCATACAAGTTCATCTGATCTGATAATACATAAGCCTATTGAATTTGTAGTCTTGTGCAGCAGGAGTTTCTTTCATAAGCAATAACAGCACTTAAAAGTTCCTCAGTGATTTTTTTCCAATAAAAAAAAGCTAAATGTTTAAAGTACATAGTCATATAATATCACCTAATAAAAGTTGCTTAATTTCACATGGAGAAGATCGTCTCACAGAGGCAGCCATTTTGAGATCACATGATGAATACTAACCTTTTCCTGGAAACCCCTTATTATTGGACACTTTTACTCACAGGATAAATGAATCACGGCTAACTGCGTAGCACTTTTCTACAATAGAATCACTAATCACAAACGTTTGCTGTGATTAGTTTTTACTGCATCCAAACCCCTGTTAATCCAAAGATAATGATAAAGATATAGTTCTAAAAATCATTCTCAATATTAAAGAATAGCAGAGTTCACACCACAGCTAAAAACACAGAGAAACGATATCGTTGGAATCACTTTCAGAGCGATTTTATCCAGCTGATTAACAATAAAAGCATTAACAGCCAATCAAGTCTGCATCTGAAATCGCATACTCTCTTAGGTTCTTATTTTGATTAAGTAATTGCAGGTACTTCATGGCCGCTAAACAAGTAAGTTCTATAGTATGAATGTGTGTAGTGAATGTAATCTGGACGAACTAAATTAGCCATGTTGTCATAATCATTTGACCAACCATGTGTCAGTTGCGTCACTAAAGTGTTAAAAGTGTTCGTCGTATGCACCCTTCAGAATCTTGCTAGAAGTACTATGTCATCCGGAGAATAGTACTGTATGAATTCGGACATCTATTGTCACATTCTGTTTTTCACCTACTATAAAAGTATGTGATTTCGGATGTAACCTAAGTGCATTTTTAACATAGAAACTGTGCCTCATAGGCACACACAACTTACATACATTGCCAGTTCAAATTAAAAACTTAACATTGTTTTATTCTTATTTTTAAGCAAACTTAAATGTCATTGAGAGCATAGTGTTCGGTGTTTTCATTTTAGAGAGTCTTGCTCTCTTTTTGTGTGGTCTGCCAGTTTGCTTCAGAGACAACGAATCTTTACTCACCCACACCCCCACCAATGTCTGCCCGTCATTTCTAATATGAATTTTTACTGGGTTGCACATCTGGTTTGGCTGCATGGCCAGCGGTGCTTGGCAAGGCCACTGGGTTCACAGCTGCTGGCTCTTCCCACATCCTCTTCATCCGGGATTCTGGTAAAGCCGTCCCCATGGATAGTACTTCACCCTGCTGAGAGGACTGATTGGCAGGCTCAAGACAACTTGATATGGTAGGTTTGTTTGCCACTGAACCACAGTGCAGCCCAACCTGGAACCGACAGCAGGCTGAAATTATTAGTTGCATTAGTCTTGATTTCCAATGTGAAAACAGACATTATGTTTAATAATATTGTGCCATAGGAGCATCATCTGAGTGGTTAAAGTGTTAAACTTTAACCAGCGGTGTTTCCCATGCAGATTTGAATCTTGCTTGTAACATGGCATGTTAAAAAGCTCAAAAGCTGATTTATCAGTGATAATTTAGTCACATCATCATAGGAATCTTATAAAGAGTTTGTTTTTGGGCCAATGTTACTAATCATGGATCTGTTTCGGTTTTCCATGATTCTTCAGCTGTAATTACATCCTAATGATTAAAAAAACATCAAAGGCTCGGGTGAGTTTTATTACACTACTATTCAAATATTCAAGTTCAGAAATCATTCTACGGTAACATGCTGATTTGGTGCTCAAGAAACATTTCTTATTATTATCAATGTTGAAAACAGGTTTGCTGCTTAATATTTTTGTGGAAAACATATTAAGCATACTAACCTGAATGACCTAATCAATATTTCTAATAAATATTTGACATGTAATTGTTGTATCTGATGGTGTTCTGTGTATTGAGCGCACATTTTGTGAGAAAAAGGAAAACGCAGACGAGGCACACAAACAAATGGGAAGGACTCTGAACATGTTGAAACGAGCAATCCAAAATAATTCCGACATAAACTTTTATTATTCAGTTAATTTTGCGTTCAATGTTTTTGCATGTGACCCACTACCTGTGAAACAAAATTCACTTTGCACTTTCATCTCTAGTAGACCTGAAAACACGGCCTCATTAAAATGACTCTTTTTGTATTTTTGTGTATTGTGTGCTGCTCACTGTGAATCAGGAGAGACGAGGTGACTAATTAGGGAACTTCACAGCTAGAGGAGCTGGTGAGGATGCTTGTGACAATAACAAGCCCCGTCGACAGGAAGGATCTCTCCTGAGCTGATCCCACAGCACTGAAAGCAGAGCAGTATTAATGCCTCGACTTAATGAGGCAGTTTGGAGAGTATTGTTTACAACAGGTTACATTTGGCTGACCTTTTTTTTTTTTTTTTTTTCTGATGCAAAAAGTACAGGAATGGTTTAAATATCAATGTTATTGACACCAAAGTGCACACCAGACCTCCAAAGTATAAAGCGGTCTACATATTTCCCAAGTCATCATGACTTGGGTTATATAAGGTTAGGTCTAAACCTTTTGTCTTATGAAAAAATATTTTTTTCCTATCTTATTGGAATAACAAGCCAATGAAATTGCATTCATTTTACTTTTATTTGGCCACAGATATGTCATAGCAGTGATACATTTGCTTCAGGATTCTAGACAGCAACATAGTGTCTGCCCACATTTGGAACGCATTGAATCCAGGCCCGGATCTGGGCCGACACTATGTTGCTGTCTGGGGAATATAAAGTTCAAAAGAACAGCATTTATTTGAAATAGAAAGAAATGACCTTGCTGCATAAAAGTACAAATTTTGACCCGGGTTGCATCTGGTTAATTCTGGTTCACCACCACTGGTTACTGCCAACCGACCAATGACTGATCAATACAACAAACACAGTGGCGTAAAAAGCTTCATCTGGTAGGCTATCAGAACTATGGCATAACAGCAAGTCTGAAGATTGAACTACACAGCATAGTCATTTTGGGGATAATCCATGGATTTTCCACTTCCTTTCAGAAGGGAAAAATGTGTCTCTGTCTTCTCTCCTCTGTGTAGAGAGTCTTTAAATAGCCTCCATTAATCCTTATGCATTCATAATCACTAGCTCTCTGCCATTTTTATCACTCTAAGAGCTGAAATCACCAATGAAGCCAAAGCCATATATTACAAGCAGCCCATCTTGCAGATCCCCGTACTCCCCTTCCGAAACTGAAAGGCAGAGTTGTTAAGATGTGGTCTAATCGGGTTTCCTACAGTGGGACAGAAGGAGAATTAGTGCCTTTCAAACAAGAGTCACGCTGTGCACGAATAACCACACTGCTGCTGTATGCTGATACCACTGTGGTCAAGTCTGAACCGAGTGACCTTATTTAGTGTGACTCTGGATTTCCGGACAGGGGAAAGTCAGTATTTCCCTCATAGCCTACACAAGAAAAGCACATGTGGTGCTCTAAACAGGGTTACTAAAGTTTGATATTCACTCGCATTAATCAAGCATCTTTATGCAGAGCATTTGCAGCTGAATAGAAGATGCGGCGCTCCACTGTG